TAGACTTTGATCTTGTCAAGCTCCGCAGATGTTCTGAAAGGATCTGAACACGAGCAGCCTGTCAGGATTCACGCTACCGGCAATATGGCATCGGCTTGCATTAATTAGCAGTGAGTAGACTTCTAGCCCCGAAAGCTCTCGGATCTTCGTTGGAGATGGCCTCTTTTCTGCTTCGCAGCTGCGGCCGCGAGACAGACCCCCAACCAAGGCCCCCTAGAAGTCCGATGCCCCAAAAGAAGGCCCTTAAAACCCCAAAAGGCTCCTTTTGGAGGCCCATAGAACCACAAAAGGCTTATAAGAAGGAGAGCCTCCGAGAGCCTCTCTGAGCAATCTCTGAGCCCTTTTGGCATGGCCGGAGCCGGCCGGCTCGGCGAGCTCCTGCGACGCTTCAAGTTGGGGGGTCCCAGAGCTCGAAACTATGGGAATTCTGGTACATTCCTTATTCCTGATTATGGGTAGTGCAGGATGTATATCATCAGCCGTAGCAGGGACTTATGGGCACTTCAGAGGGCTCCCGCAAAGGGAGGAAGGATCCTCTGAAGGGCCGGATCTGATTGGGGTTCTCATTTGCTTGGGCCACTTCTCGGAACGCAGAGGATCTCTGACATGTGTGAGGTTGGCTCCTGGTGCGACGCAGGCAGCGCCAGGACGTCTTTTGTGCTCTTTCTTCAGGCTTTTGGGGTTCAGCTTATCAGGCTTCTGCAGCAGCAGGCATGCGTGATTCTTAGACAGGCTGCTTCCTCTGTGTTGCTGGTGACTGTTAGTGTTGCTGTTTTGAGACTTTAGCATGCATCCATTATGTTGCCTGCATCAGCGACACTCCTGTTCTTTGATAGTCTTTGTGTTCTTGTGATCGCTTTTTGGATGCAGCATTTCTGGCTGCCAGAAGTGCGATTGCAACTCGTGCCGGTATGAGATCCTCTCAAAACACGATTTAGTGTCTGGACAGTACTCTGCTCCATGGCTATTGCCACTCTGGTGATGATGATGATGATGATGGCCATGTGATGCAGAGGATGATTACCGGGTTTCCCTGCACTGGGCTTGCCGTGATCATTACCATCGTTTGTTATCGTTGCAATGCCTACATGTGTGAACGGTATGGCCGTGAGTAGCATGCTATCCGATACAAAAAACCCTAAACCCTAAACCCTAAACCCGAAACGTCATCGTACTCTGTCTCTGAGCGTAGGCGGAGCTGCGAAAAGCCTACTACAAGCGTGCGAAGCTGCTCCACCCGGACATCGCGGGCGAGGCCACGGGGCACCAACTGGCGCCAGGGCACCCCGAAGTGCAATGCAAGGGGACCGGGCTTTACGGAACCCCCTAAACCCTAAACTAAACCCTCAACCCTAAACCCTAAACTCCAAACTCCTAAACTGCTTAAACTGCTTAAACTTTAAGGATTTAGGGAAGCCTAACCGGCCCTAAACCCCGCGGACTCCTCCTGGGATTCCTCCGCGCAGGCCTCGCAGGCGGACTTCCGCCGCCTCCGGGAGGACGATGGGACAACCCTGGCATTGCATGACGATCTGAAATATAGATGTTGGGGTTTAGGGTTTTGGGCTTATGGGGCTTAGGGTTTAGGGTTTAGGGTTTAGGGCAGATGGGTAATTCTCTGAATTAGGGTCCCTTTTAGGGTCCCTGTTGTAAGGGTGCCGTACAGAACTACCCATATAGATAAACAGAAACGAGACTGATATGACCTGGCCTGATATTCAACGTACCATATGTTGAAATCGAGTCTCATCTAACCTCATACGAAGCACTATCGCATAACGCCATCTAGTTTAGTGAAAATCCAATCCATGATCAGCTAACCCAATACAATACAACTTATTGTAATGTATAATGCAAAAGACTATAACATAATAGCATACGTTATTGTGGTGTAATAGAAGATGATGTAAGACGTGAGACCATGCAGCGTAGTAGAATATAACATCGCACAAACACACAAAATCTACTCTTCTTCCTTTCGGATTCTTATTGCCTTCCCTTCTTGGCCTTCATGCCTCAGCTGTTTTGGATCGCCTCCTTGGGGCGTCTTTGCCTGATGGGCTCCGAGCCGTCGAGCTGGCCGTGCCATGTGGACGCGATCCCGCGCATCTCCACGCCGAAGTCCCTGGGCACTGGGACGGCGATGTTGCTGAAGCTGGGCTCTTGTCAAGGAACGTCGTTTAAGTTATTATAACAAAAAGGAACTCTAGCCAAGAATATTTCGTTTAAGTCTAAGTTACTGTAATAGGGAACTATAGCACATATTGGGGTTTCCTTATTATGGTTCTTTTCAACCGAGATCCAAAAAAAGATTTACCCAGGAGCAGCGAGGCTCTGGCCGTGGGCGGCCCGAGCCCTGGGGCGGTGGAGTGGCTGCACCACCAAGGCCCCGCACTCGGATCTTCTTTTTTTGGGTCGCAGATCTCTTAACTGGTCTGGAGCTTGCCACGAATAGTGTATACATCTGCGTATGTATCTATGTCCTGGCGCTTCCACAGCGCACCCGC